TGTGTGTGTGTGTGTGTGTGTGTGTGTGTGTGTGTGTGTGTGTGTGTGTGTGTGTGTGTGTGTGTGTGTGTGTGTGTTGCTCTGCTTTCCCTCCTGAGCTGGCAGTGCTTCGGAGTGGTTGCTTACTCGGGTCCAAACAAGCTTCTGGCCCAATTCATGCTGCCACCCCACTGAGAGGTCCAAAGGTGGCTTGCTTTGCTTGCTGGCAACTATTTGCCCCAGGCAGCCATGGTCAAACTTTGTCTAGAGTTTGGGCAGGTCTCTTTTTGATTGGGAATCTCTTCTGGCCAGGTGGGTATTCATGGTTTCCTTGGCCCGTCCCCAGACTTCCCATCTGTAACTACTCACAACTGAGGATGGCCTTAGCCAGGAGCCCTGCTGGTAGATGGCCCCCATGTTCAGACTATGGTGGTTGGGCACTAGGCCAGGGTATTGAGGAAGGCACCCCCTCCTGGCTCAGATGGGTGGCCTTGCCTTGGCCCTTTACTGTTATTGATCAGCTTGCAAAACACACCCTGTGAATTCTGTAGTTGGCAGCAGAAATGGACCTGGTCCTCACATGACTGTCCTGAAGTCTGCTAAACCAGCAAACTTCATATTCATGTAGGTTTTATAGAAAGGGCCTTCTAAGCAGGAGAGTGGCACATGGTTTAGAGGCCAGCATCCAAATGCTGGGTGGGCTCAGTGCAGAAACCAAACTGGCTCTTCATTGCCTCAAGAACTTTCGGCACCTCTTGGGGAGGAGCCTTTCCTATCCCCTTTGAGTTTTGGCTGTGTTAGTTACTTTCTACTCCTTCCTCTCCTCCTCTGTTTTGTTTTTTGGGACAGGGTTTCTCTATGTATCCTTGGTTGTCCTGGAACTCACTTTGTAGATTATGCTGGCCTCAAACTCAAGGAGATCCGCTTGCCTCTGCTTCCCAAATGCTGGGATTAAAGGTGTGTGCCACCACTGCCCAGCAGTAATTAATTTGTATTGCTGTGATGAACATGACCAAAGCAATTTTTAAAAAATGATTTATTTTATCTTTTCTGTAAATTGTTTTGCCTGCATATATGTCTGTGTAAAGGTGTTTGATCCCCCCCCCCCCCAACTGAAGTTACAGACAGTTGTGAGCGGCTATGTTGGTGCTGGGAATTGAACCTGGGTTCTCTGGAAGAACAGCCAGCACTCTTAACCTCTGACTCATCTCTCCAGCCTGACCAAAGCAATTTGGAGAGATTTAATCTTACAGTACAATATGAAGGGAAGTCAGAACAGAAAATTGAGGCAGGAACCTAGAGGAAGGAACTGAAGAGATCAAGGAGGAACAATGTTTATTGCCTTGTTCTTCATGGCTTACTTAGCTTGCTTTTTGTTTTGTTTTTGCTTTTCGAGACAGGGTTTGTCTGTAGATGGAGACTTTTTTCCGTCTAGCCCTGTCCCACTTGGTTAATTTCTCTCTGCCCCCTGGGTCCCTGCAGCAGCTTTAAAAGATAACCACTCAGATACTATATATATATATATATATATATATATATATATATATATAATACACACACTTGGCCAATGGCTTAGGCTTATTACAGGGTACCTCTCGCTCTTATAAATTAACCCATTTCCACAAATCTGTGGATCACCACGTGGCTGTTGCTTACCAGTGATACCCTGGCATCCTGCCTCCCCAGTGGGTATATGGCATCTCTTCGACTCTGCCCTCTCTCTGTCTCTCTCTCTGTTTATATTTGGATTTCCCACCTGGCTTTACTTTGCTCAGCCATTTGCCAAAACAACTTTATTCATCAACCAATAAAAGCAACATGTATTTGTACCATACAGAAGGACATACTACATCATCTCTCCTTTTCTGTCTAAATAAAAAAAGGAAGGTTTTAACTTTAACATAGAAAAATTATATAACAAAACAGTTATCAAGCAAGAATTATAGTTATAATATGTAGTCCATTTACATTTGGCAAAATTTAAAGAAAATACTCCTATCATCTATCCTATCTTTGT